CCCAAAAAAAAAAAAAAAAAAAAAAGACCACCACTTCTGTACTAACCAGCAAAGTAGGGAGCAAAAGCTTGTCTCTGCTCCTGGCTATAAAAACATCGGTCCCAGTACTGAGCCAGCTCCACTCGAATTGCCTCAATTACTTTCTTCATATTTTGCATTTTCAATTCTTCCAGTCGATCTGCTTCTAACTGTAGCTAAAAGAAAAAAAAACATTCAGAGTGGTTATGACACCTTTTTCTTTGGAGACAAGGTCTTATTCTTTAGTTCAGGTAGCCCAGGCTGGCTTTGAACTTGAAATCTTCCTGCCTCAGCCTCCTTGGTGCTGGGATTACAGGTGTCTGCCACTATGCCCAGCTTTTAAATTTTTTTCCATTAAGTTTATTGGTAACCTTTATATATATAATATGATGGTAGTCAGCATTGGAAATTACTAATTTTAGCGTCTGAATATTACCTTTCCCCAACTGTAGTGAAGAATGTTGGTGATCTCTTAAGAGGTACTTTGTCTAGTTTGTCAGTTATTCACTCCTATAAGAAAATACTTTTTTTTTTGAACTGGGGCTTGAACTCCGGACCTTGTGCTTACAAGGCATACAGTGGAACCACTGAGCTAAATCCTTGGCCCCACTTTTTATATTTTTGTTGTTGTGTTGTAACTTTTGGCTTATACTTGGTTATTTTGTTGGCTGCTTTCAAAAATTCCATGTCACCTTTACATATCTTGGTTCTTATTTTCCCCATCCCCCTGCCCTCCCCTCCCTTCAACCCTTCTACCCCTTTTATTTTGGGGCAGAATATCTCAAAGTCACTAAGTTGCCCAGGCTGCGCTCAAACTTATGATCCTCCTGCCTCAGCCTCCGGAGCAGCTAGGGGTTACAGGCTTTAGGCACCATGCCTAACTTTGGTGTTTTCTTTTTTGGGTGGTAATGGAGACTGACTCAGGGCCTTTCCACTGAGCTAAATCCCCAATCTTCCGCCATTTTCAGATGGTTTGACTAAGTGGCTAAATTGCCCAGGCTGGGCTTAAACTTACAATTCTCCTACCTCAGCCCCAAGAGTGCTGGGATTACAGGTTGCACCACATACCTGGCTTTAATGCTTGCCTTTAAGAACAGGCAGACCATGGAAGAAGCTGATAAAGACATCAGACAGGATCCAGAAATACTCATACAAGATTGCTGATCCAGCCCCGACTTGGTTTCTTACCGCCTTCCTGACTTTGGCATTTGACCCAGTCATACTCATGGCTACAGCTTCTCTCTCTTCTTCAGGTATTTGCAGCCTATCCCAGAGCTCTCGGATCTGAGCACGAAGCCCCTCACACACAGCTTCATTTTGTGATTTTCGCATTTCCAGCTATAGAAGGAAAGGCAGCATTAGAACAAAACAGTAGCATAGAAAAGGCCAGCACTCTGGCCTCCCAGCAAGAAATGTTTGGATCTACATGGAGAAGCACCCTCAGGAAAGATTTCCAAGAGGCGTTTTTTTTTGCCTTCTAAACATAAACTGTAAGGCTGTCATTATGGATTTCAGACCTCAGGAACTAGATTTGAATTTTGAAATGAAATATTTTTTCAATTAAACACTAAGCTAACTTAAATGGCTAATGTTACTTCATCTAAAATGCCAATTTCTTTTTCTTAAAATATTAAATTTTAGGGGCTGGGGATTAATAAAAATAAATAAATAAATAAATTTTAATTTTTCTATTTACACATAAATTTATTTTTGAAAAAAAAAAGGAAGCAGAATTGGGACTTCAGCTCAGTGGCAGAGCACTTCCCTTGCATCAATGAACACTAGGTCTAAGACGCTGGTTTCGCTTCCCCAGCACCAGAAAAAAAAAAAAAAAAAGAAAGAAAATGTTGTATGCCATAAATAAATAAATAAATAAATTTTAATTTTTCTATTTACACATAAATTTATTTTTGAAAAAAAAAAGGAAGCAGAATTGGGACTTCAGCTCAGTGGCAGAGCACTTCCCTTGCATCAATGAACACTAGGTCTAAGACGCTGGTTTCGCTTCCCCAGCACCAGAAAAAAAAAAAAAAAAAGAAAGAAAATGTTGTATGCCATATATTATCTCATCTTTCCTCATTCTCTGTGTGTTTTGGTTTTTCGAGTCAAGGTCTGGCTACGTAACCAAGCTTGCTGGCCTCAAACTGCAGTGATCTCCTGCCTCAGCCTCCCGAATGCTGGGATTACAAGTGTGCGCCACAACACCCAGCTCACTTTCATTCTCTTAATTTACACTGACTCCTTATTTAAGACTGAAGAGAAACTTGTCAGTTTTTCAAAATACTGCTTTGTTGCAATCCCAGGCTATAATTTGAAAAGGTATTACCTGCCGTAGCAGCTTTTGTAGTGTTGTAATATTCTCCAAAGACAAACAAAAGGCATCTTCATCTTCACACACCACATCTCTTTCAAAGCTTGTGTCTGGAGTGTGATCTAACTCTTCCATACATAGGATGATCTGTCTTTTTATGGTGACAAACTCCTCACGCCTAGATGCCTATTCAAAAACAAACCAACAAAAAACTCTATTATAAGATACCTAGAGGAGGGCCAGGGATTTAGCTCAGCTGAGCAGCATAGCGCCTGCTTGGCAAGTGATCCCAGATACCATAAAGATATGTAGGGGAAGGACAAATAAACTCCTAGGAAGTACAAATGCAGACAGATACCTTTTTTTCCTTCAGAGTTGCCAAGTGTTGCCTGAACTGGTTTAACTCGTCTAAGCTGGGAACACAGGTGCTGTCAATGTCGTAATGGGGCATGCAAAGAACTTCACAGAGTTCTCGATCTTGTTCTTGAAGAAGCTTCAGTTCCTGTTTTCTCTCCTTTTTCTGTTTTCGCATTAATTCCACCTGAGTGCGCAAATCTTTTTCTAGTTGCAGGATAGTTGTTTCCCCTTCTTCCTACATAAGACAACATACCAGGTACAACGTTCCCAGTGATGAAAAGGACAATGGATGGGAACTAGGACAACAGACTTTCAGTTATCCTTACCACAAAGTCAAATCATGGTCAACAGAGTATGGTCCCCAATTAGAAAAGATGCATACTAAATACCAGGGTGCTTTTTGTAACCTTTTATTTTTTTGGTACCAGGGACTGAACTCAGGACACTGCACTTGCCAGCCATAAGCTGTACGGCTGAGCTACAGTCCTGGCCCTGTTTTTTTTAATTTCGGTAAAATAACATGACAAACTTATCAACCAAACTATTTTTAAGTATATAGTTCAGTGGTATTTAAGTATAGATGGTCCCCAACTTAACAGTGACTCAATATTGATTTTTGGCTTTACAGCGGTATACAAGTAATAAGTATTCAGTGGAATCTGTATTTCGAGTACCCATACCAATGCTATTTCCAACACAAGTAAGGAAAGCAAAGACTAAGGTAGGATATTGAGAAATTAAGGTGTATTACATATATTTTTGTGTACTTACAACGGGTTTATCATGATCTCACCCTACTGAAAGTTGAGGAACATCTGTAACTCAAGTTCAAGAATCACCATCCTTCCCCAGGACTCATTTCAACTTATTTGCCTACCCTAGGTACCAGGACACTATTAACTTGTGCTGGACAGCAATCCTTCAGCTACCTACAGCTAATCCCAGCCTGCGCTGAACTGGTCTGCGGTCTCCCAACACTCAGCTTGTGAGACATGTCTTGCAAAGTAACTATCTTAGCTTCTTCAGTGGCATGCAGCTTCTGGGTATGAAATTGGGCTTTTTTTAAAACCTTCCCGTGTATCACTAGTTACTTTTGTTTCCTAAGTACTCACTCTTTATTTTCTTTCAGAGAAATAGCAGTGCCATCTGTGCCTATCTTTACCTAAGAGTTTATTTAAAAAAAATAATAATAATAATGCAAGCAGCAGCTTGGTTTTCATCACCCATCTGCTGCTTCACCCCTCAACAGGGCAGCTTTCTATGTACATGAAAATTACTTTGTCAGAATTAAGCAGGCAGCAATTCCCCAATTCTCATATCTAACACCCCCTACTAAGAAGCCTTCTATGTGCACTCTCAAGCCTATTCTGCCTCCTGTCTCACACCCGAGCCAGACCACCCAGGTCTGCAAGGCGCACCTGAAATGGCTCGACATGTAACTCACTGCACAGGGTATTCAGCTCTTTTTGACAGATGGATATGCTTTTGATAAGTCTTTCTTTCAGGCTCTCCTCTTCGGCAATCATCATATCCAGGAGATCCTACAGGACAGAAAACAGTCTATAATTTTGGGCCACAAAGGGAAAAACCACCATTCTACTTCCTGTCTCTGAATCTGACTACTCTAGGTACCAGGGCACTATTGCATGAAGTGTAAATGGTTGGAAAGCTTGCTATACATTAGCTACAGAGTGGTATGTGTAGCTTGAATCAAAATATCATCATAATAATCCTAAGAACATCACCTTAACAATAAAAATCAATTTAGTAATCCATGATCTACTTTTTTTTTTGGTACCAGGGATCGAACTCAGGACCTCGCACTTGCGAGGCAGGAGGTGGAACCACTGAGCTAAATCCCCAGCCTCTCCATGATCTACTTCTAACTGATGAATGATAGGGGTAGCTATATACACCTAAATAAATTTATACAACTTCATTTAATATTTACAAAACCCTCATAATTCAAAATTTCAAGAGTGGACTTAAAATCAAGAACAACATATGATGTCCTAGTGTCCCAATGATGCCCCAATGTCACTTCCAACATCTATCTTAAAAGAGACACCAACACCCCCTACCTAGCCCCACTGCAGATAACAGAACTGCTCAACTCAGAACTGCTCAACTTACCTTGATATGTTTCTTTACAACCTCGGTTCTTTGTAAGCGCTGGTCCTCTGGAATCCCAATTAATTCCCATATTTCCCGAAGGTGATTCAGAGCTTTCTGAAGACATACTATGGACTCCTCTGCCAGCACCTCACTAGAAAGCAAAAAGTTTTTTTGCCTGTTACATCAATCACTGCCTCAAGACTAAAAGCAAAACAGTATTTTTAGGAACTAAATAGACTAGCTTTTTAATGGTTTTATGGGGAAACAAACTGAAAAGGAAGCTTGCTGGGCATGGTGGTACACACCTGCAATCCTTGGGAGGCTGAGGCAGGAGGATTGCTGTGAGTTCAAGACCAGCCTGGGCTACACAGTGAGACCCCCCCACTCAAACTGCACCCCTCGCAAAAAAAAATAAAAAAAAAAAAAAAAAAAAAAAAGTAAACTTAATTCACTTTTGGGATTTGTTTTTTTTTCCTCTCTTTTTTCTGGTACTGGAGATCAAACTCAGGACCTCACGCTTGCAAGACAGGAGGCGGAACCCCTGAAGCTAAATCCCTGGCCCTTTAATTCACTTTTAATCACTCCCCTTCTTTTCCCCCAAATACCAGACTATCAAAGCAAATTCAGTGTCACATTTCATCATGGAGATACCTTCTGGGTAATACTCAGCATCTGGATTTTAATAATTATATAGATGGCAATATAATACAGACAAAACATCAATAAAATAACTCCCAAGAGTTTGCTGGTGACACTGGGTGTGGTGGCACATGCTTCTAATCCCAGGGCTGGGGCAACTGAGGCAAGAGGATCATGGTGAATTCAAGGCCAGCCTGAGCTACACAGTGAGACCCTGTCTCAAAAACTGAAATCAAAAAGTAATGAATTGCCAATGTTTCACAGGAGCTTCACACTAACTTTTTTTTTTTTCCTAACACAGGGTCTCACTGTGTAGTTCAGGCTGGCCTTGAACTCTCTGTATCTCAGGCCTGCCTCAAACTCACCACGATCCTTCTGCCTCAGCCTCTGGAGTGCTGGGATTACAGGTCTGCACCTTCATGTCCAGCCTATTTTGTTCTCCCCACCACCACCAGGGATTGAATTCAGGACCTTGTACTTGCCAGGCACCAGTAAGCCACATCCCCAGCCCTTTGATCTTTTTCTTAAAGTAAAGCTAGTAATACAAAGAATAGCTAAAATTAAAAGAATGTCATCAATTGTTGGTGGAGACCAAAAAAAAAGCCAGAACTGTTACACACTGCTGGTATGATGTATTGGTACAACTATGTCATACCTGTAATCCCAGCACTGTGAGAGGCTGAGGCATGAGAATTTCAAGTTTGAACCCAGCCTGGGTGACTTAGCAAGACCATTTGTCAAAATTTCAAAATTAAAATGGCTGGGGATATAGGTCAAGGCCCTAGGTTCAATCCCCCATACTGCAAAATAAATAAATTTTAAAGAGATAATTAATGCATGTATTTAATCTCAGTGAACTAAAGGCCAGCTAAAGAGATCCTGACAAAACCCCCTTTGTATTTCACTTTGATAACAAAAGGATATATACAGTAAAATCCTGATGTTAACATTTCACTAAAAATAACTTTTAGTCAGATGTGGTGGTACAAGCCTGTAACCCGGAGGCCAAGGCAGGAAGATTTCAAATTCTAGTGCTGCCTGGACAATTTAGCAACTTTAGAAAGACTCCGTCTCAAAAGTAAGAAATAAAAGTTGCTGGGTATATGGCCAAGTGAGAAGGCCCTGGAGTCAATCTCCAGTCCTACAAAAACAAACCACCATTTAAACTGGGCAGAATGGCACATACCTGTCGTCTACTGGGGAGGCTGATGCAGGGGAAACTGTAAGTTTGAGGCCAGCCTGGTCAACTTAGTGAGACCACATCTCAAAATAAAAAATAAAAAGGGGTAGGAGAATAGCTCAATGGTAGCCTGCCTGTGGGTTCAATAACCAGTAATGAAAAAAAAAATTCAGAAAAAAATTATACACCTGCAATCCCAGCTACTCGGAAAGTTGAAGCAGGAGCACCAGGAGTTCAAGACCAGGCTTCAAAATAAAACAAAAAGGGCTGAAGATACAACTGATTGTTAGAGTTCTTTCCTAACATGTGTGAGGCCCTGGGTTCAATGCCCAGTACTATAAAAGAGAGAAAAAAAAAATACCCCATACAACGAGCAAAGAATTTGAGCAGTGAGGCCCTGGGTTCAATGCCCAGTACTATAAAAGAGAGAAAAAAAAAATACCCCATACAACGAGCAAAGAATTTGAGCAGACATTTTTCCAAAAATATATAAATGGCCAATGAACATGAAAAGACGCTTGGCAACATTAGTCATCAGGAAAATGCAAATCAAAACCACAAAGAGCCGGGAGTGGCAGCTCACGCCTGTAATCCCAGCACTTGGGAGGCCAGGAGGATCGCTATGAGTTCAAGACCAGCTTGGGCTACATAGTGAATTCCAGGTCAGTTTCAACTACATAGTGAGACCCTGTCTCAAAAACAAAAACAAACAAACAAACAAAAAACAAACACAAAGAGATGCTACTTCACAGCCACCACAATGGCTGTAATAAAAAAGACAGATGAAAAATGCTGAGAGATTGAACCCCTAATGGAAGCCTGCAAGATGACACAGCCCATTTGAGAAACAATCTAACAGTTCCTCCTCCAGTTAAACATAGGTTATTACGCCTACCAAGAGTTCTACCAGTAGGTACCCAAGAGAAAGGAAAATATGACATTAAAATCTGTATAGGAATGCTGCACAAATGGGTACATAAATGGGCAAATAAAAATGTATACCAATACAACAGAAAGTTTGGCAAAAAACTGTTCAAAGAAGCAAGTCACAAAGGACCACACAGCTATGATTCTATTTATAGAATTTATAATTATTCAGAATGAGCATAAGTTAATAGTTGTGAGAGTGTGTGGACTAAGGGCAAAAAGAGGATTGAATGATAGTGGGATTTTGGAGGCATGATGAAAATATTCTAAAAGTGATTGCAGTGACAATTACGTAACTCTTGAATATTCTAAAATCATTATACACTTCAAGTAGGTGATTTATAAGGTTTGTGGAACATATCTGGGAGCTATTATTAAAGGCATTTGGCAGGTAATATGAATTTTTGTGACAATTGAAAAACAAAATCAATTTTATTTCTTTTTCTTTTTTGGTACCAGGGCCCGAACTCGGGACCCTGTCTTTCTCTTTTTATTTAAAATTAAAATGCCTCTAAAACTACAACTGCCACTTTCTATAACGTCTGTTATTCTCCCCTTTCTCTGCTTGATTTTTCTCCATAGCACTTACTGTCATTTAATGTGACATTGACTTGCTTATTGCTTCTATTAGAATATAAACTCTACAAGGGCAAGAATGTTTTGTTTGTTGCAATGTCAACACTTAGAATTATACTTTGTATATAACATTCAAGAAGTTTCTGAGCTCAGCATGTGGTGCACACCTATAATCCCAGCACTTAGGAGACTGAGGCAGGAGGATTGCCCTGAGTTCAAGGCCAGCCTGAATTACTACATAGGAAGACCCTGTCTCAAAAAACAAAAACAAAATGTATTTTTGAAAAAATAATGTGACAATTTTTAAAAGTTGTACAGCTGGGTGTGGTGGTATACTCCTGTAATCCCAGCACTTGGAAGGCTGAGGCAGAAAGATCAATGCATGTTAAGAGATCAGCCTGAACTACATAGCAAGACTTAAAAAAATGTTGGAGGAGGGGTGGGGAAAGGAGGAAAACAGTCGTATGATCTGATAATTTAGAGTAGTCATTGTTAATAATAATTATTGTGGTCCAGTCATAAACTACCTTGCTAAATGGTTTCAAATAATTCCCTTTAAGGAGCAAATCTGAGGTTTTTTTTTTTTCTTAGAATACATCACTGAATAACTGAGAATGCAAACAAGAATTCTATTCAAGGACACAAACGTTGTAAAAACAGCCTTTTCTCTGGACAAAAAAGGATCTCAAACAATCTTGGAATGATTTCCTACCTTCAGGAAGCCTGAACTGATCCCTGCTCCATTTTCACCTTTGACAGCTTCCACAGAAGGAGCTTTCTCAAGTGTCTCTCTGCACCTGTCTCAGGAATCCATAACCCCAGTTTCACCTCAGTGGCCAGTCTGATAACGGTTATGTTTCTGTGGCCTATTTCTCATGTCCTTTCTAAATACAAATACCTGAAATTGAGGTATTCAAAGTATTCAAGTTTTGAGCTAGTAATCCCATTGCTACTTTAAAGCATAATCATATGTTAGCCTGGAACCAAAGTTCCAGAATAACTTCTCCCTTCATTCACTTGCTTGAAAGTAGATGACTGAACAACTCACAATGGACTCGAGTAAGTTTCCTTTAAATATCACTTATAATTTTACTCGACCTTAAAATGCATCATTAGTTTAAACCCAAGGTATTTTAACCAGAATGTCCGTCAGATAGGATTTGCAGTCCATAACCTTACACAGTACTGCAGTGGCACTAATGATTTGTACCCCTTCCACTGAGGCTAGCATTTCGAAAAAGCTGATCAGAATTAGTAATCACGGGCCAAGCATAGTGGTGTTTGGCTGTAAATCCCGGCACTTTGGGGGACTGCGAGTTTGGGGCCAGCCTGAAATCCATAACAAGCCCTTGCCTGAAGAAGGAAAAAAGTAATCATGAAATCAAGAATCTTACTAAGCTAAGCCTTGGGGAAATCAGTTTGACCAGTAACTACAAAGTATTCGATATGGTTCAATACGGAGTCGTCACAACAGCCTACCCGCTAGTTTCAGAAACACTTGTACAACTTTTAACATACAAGTCCTAGCGCTGCATTATTTTTATTTTAGAAGTGAGAAAACGGGCATTCAACCTCTTGCCGAGTCACACCCTGGGACCGATTCCAGGAGGACACTCCCTGCTCACGGCGCCTAGGAAGCAAGATTTCTTAAAGTGTAAGGAAACTCAGCCCTCTTCCCAGTTATTTGCAACACGTTAGCACCTCGGGCCAGAAGCAAAGGGAAACGACGACTGACTTGCAACTTCACCGCTTTGTTCAGGAAAGCGAGAAGCCGCGACCAGGTAAGACCGGACTCAGGCGCCTCGGTGCCAAGAAGCTTCACCTGAGCCCCGGGACGAGCGAAGGCGTCCCCGTTCCAGCCCCGTCCGCCCGAAGGAACTCGCGGTGCCCCGGGCCTCCCGGGGCGGGGGCTGCCGTGAGCCCCTAGGCCCCTACGACGGAGGCCTCTCGGACCCCACACCTGAAACGGGCGCCGCTCCCTCCCGCAGCCCTTCAACTCCCCC